CTGTTCAATTTCAATGCTGTATTTAAAAATGTTTTTTTTTTTACAAATGCTGTGTATATGTATATATATATATATATATATATATATTTGTTTTTTTTACAAACAAATCTAACTTAGCATTTCAAATAATATACATGGATAATGATGGCGTAGTTTTGTGTTGCAATTACGTAATGACGTCATAGCTCAATGACGTCACAACGTCAATTAGCAACTTTTGGCAAGACTCCCACTGATTTGTGGAAAGTTTTGATAAGATTTCGTGAAGATTCTGGACAAAGACTGTTTTGACACCATGCAAGTACATTTTTTCATCATACTTTTTTTTCGGTTTCTGAGTTGGGTGTGTAGTGTGTACGTCACCAAACCTATCTTTATATTACCTTAATCACTGTCTTGTTGGCTAAAACATTGCACCATTTTGAAACATGTCAGCAACTCATAGCAAATGTTAGCTAGGCTTTTAAAATATGTTTTACACAGCGGGGTTAGTTGTAGCACAGTGTTACAACTAAGCCGCCAAGTGTAGAATAATAATGAAATGAAAACAGGGAGCCACACAACTTTACAGGTTTGAGTGTTTATTTATATTTATATTTATTTTGCCACATTTAACTTTGTTGGACTTTCACAAGCAATGTTGGAATTTAAATGTCAAAGTATGATTTTTTTCACATTTGTTTACTATGCATTGAGCACTTGTTTATTTATTATAAATATAGCCCAGTTTTTTAATGCAATAAACCCTTTAAAATGTGATTTTAAGCTTGTTTTTATTATTATTACTGTTATTATTATTATTAATAAATTTTTTACATGCAGCTGCCACACACAAATATAATTCAACTGCAATTACAATATTTGATATTTGCAAAACTGTGCAGCCCTTTCCTATCTCTATCCATGATATTGATCCATAATAGAAGGATGATTGGATGAGGGATGGGTGTATGGATATCTATCTATACAGACGCACAAACAATAACAAACTATACAGATAAAATGGTACTGAATTATGTGTGTTACACACAAGTGTTACAACTAACTCCTCTGTCTGTTACAATTAACCCTGCATACGGGGTAAGTTGTAACATTTGCACTTCTGTCATTTTCAGTGCAACTGTATGAAAATGGTAGGTCCTAGAAAAAAAACTTTAAATGTTCATTTGTAGCAGAGATGTGTATGTTGCTTGTATATAAAAAAAGATGAATCTAACTTAATTATTTTTTAAATAATTTAGCCAAAACCAAGATGTGTTAGGTTGTGCCCCGCTCTCCCCTATCACTGAACATTTATTTTACCATAGCAAAAGTAAAATTCTTGTTTAAGTTATTTATCTCATCTCTGTTTTTGTGTTTATTTAAAGGACAATTCCGGACAAAAATTAACCTAGGGCTAAATAACACATGGGTACCGAGTCCACCACGAACGCTGTGCTACGTGAGCTGAACTGTGACTATTGACCAGGACGTACAGTAGCACGGCGTTCGAGACAGGTTTTCCAAAGATGGCTCCTGCCTATATACGCGAAGTGAACTGTCTTTATAAAGTATCCTCTTATTAAACTGTCTGTACACTTACAAAGTTCCCAATGCATTGGTTTGCAGGTAGGGACCCTCATTATGCTACCGTGTTAGTTTGGGGCTATTTTGAGCCTTGTTAGTGGTATTTACTAGCGATTTTATTCTATGCCCCATACACTAGCGTTATAAGCTACTCTGTGGTAAAATTAAAACTAATGTTAAAACTCGGTACATTTGATTGTCATGAAAACGCATCCCAGAGAACGGTCGACTCGGTACCCATGTGTTATTTAGCCCTAGGTTCATTTTTAGCCGGAATTGTCCTTTAATATTAGACAAATCTGATATCATTTTAAACGTATATGTTTTTTAACAGTTGAGCTAGTTCTTTAATGCTGATCTAATCAGCAGAATACACTAATACAGAATACACTGTGTTTAGCTCTGTTTTTATCAATATTTTTTTTTCCATCTATTTGCCTGCATTGTTTTGACATATGCTGTATAGATGTGTTTTGCAGTGTGTTCATTGTCATGCTCCAAAATAATTACATTTCTTAATTTCTTAAGAAATGCTATTATTTTATATAAAAAAAAAAGAGAATAATTGTCTTTTATGGACAAAATATTTTAGTTTGTGTTTGATCATTTTTTGATTAGATCAGATAACATTTTAAGCTGTCATATGGTCATGTGGACGGTTGCAATGTGTCCCTTACATGTTACAACATGTCCCACCTATGGGGCATGTTGTCACATTTCACTTCCATTCTTTAGGCGTAAATAATGAAAGAAGTACAAGACAACATTTGTACCGGACATGTGTGAAATTAATTTGAAAAAAATATATAATAATAATACTCTGAACCCTAAGTAGATTTACACTAACGGAGAAAGTCAAAAATAGGTTGTGCCCCGCTCTCCCCTAATTCTAAATCATGGCCTTCTGTGACTCTACAAAATACACAGATCAGAGCAGAAGACAAAGGGAAACTAAAATACATCTACTGATTTTATAAATATCTGTCTAGACTCGCTGCTACAATAATTCAGACACACTATACATAGAAATAAATTCTCTTACCGATTTATGTCTTTTGTAGAATGTCGGATCAGCGTAAGTGATCTCTCTATCCTGGGTCTGAACTGTTTCATAATTACAGAAACAAAAACACTCAATGAAATGATGTTTGAGCACTGCTTTACATTATTTTAATATATATATATATATATATATATATATATATATATATAATACTTGCCTTCTCTGTTTGTTTTTCTGTGTTTCCTGCAGATGCAGAAGATCCCGACTGCAGTAACAATCATCAGAGATCCAGCAGCAGCAGAAGAGATCAACACTGTCAGAGACACTGAGTCTAGAGGACCTGAAGGAGAGAGTCATTAGTGTGAGTGAATGTGTACATAAACACAAAATATCAAAACAGATGTACCTGAACATGGCCCACAGAGTTGAGTGTTGAGATGTGTGGTCTGGTTGCTGATGGTATTGTTGAGCACACAGCTGTAGGAATCATCCAGACACTGAATCTCCAGAGGTAGAGAGAGACTGATGCTGAGATCACACACACTGATGCTGGACAATACACTCATTCCTGCGTACCAGGAGAGAGTCACATCACTCACATTCAACACTGATGAACACACCAGTGAACAATTTGATAATGAAGATGGTGATTTTTTTGAAGAATGGCTGATGACAGGAACAGGCAGAAGAGCTTGAAAACAGAATAAATATAATTAACACCAAGTCAGAGAGAGGTTTTATTTGTCAAACCCCTCTCTCAACATTATTAAAGGATTCATGTTTAAAAATGCAATTGAAGTATTAGTGTCACACAAAAATTATTACATTAAAATGTAGCCTATTGTAAAATTATATACTTGTAAAATATAATTTCCTTTACAAGATCAAGCACAATATATAATTTTAGATGTGGTGGAAATCATCATGACTATCAGAAAACAGATAAAAATGACAATTCTCTTGTGATAATGTGCACTGTTGTGCAGTTTTATAGAGCTATTTTTATTTTCAAGAACAAATACAACTCTTTGTACAAACACAGACTAGATTTTCATTGGATATTGTTAGTATAGTAATTATGTGTTTTAACTCACCATAGACGGTAAGCTTGAATGTGTTGAGCGGTGTCTTTGATCTGCTGCTGGTTACTCTATAAAGTCCAGAGTCTGTGGTTCTGATGTTCATGATGGTCAGAGATGCAGTCTTCTCATCCAGCTTCAGTCTGTCTCTGAATCTCTCATCAGGAAAATCTGTCTTATAGTTATTTTCTTTGATTTTAGCTATGAGACTGTTGTTGTGTCCAGTTCTCCACATTATCAGATCATCTGTCTGTATTTCAGTATCAGAGTTTAGAGTGACAGATTCTCCCTCAGTCACTGACACTGACTTCACTTCATCAACACCAAACACTCCTGAACAACAAATAAAAGGTTACATTTAAAAAAAAAAATGTTTTATTCATTATACTCATTTATACTCATTGAAAGGGACTGCAGCATGAAAACAAAAGTATTTTAGTAAATTGGTTTGATACAGCTGGAAAATATAGGAGGCAAAATGAAATAATAAATGGAAATAATAAATAACTGAATTATGTTTTTCAACAAATTACAATATAAACAGAAGCGAAGACATAAAAATACTTACCAGTCGGACTCCAGCACAAAAATATGAAAATAAACATTTTCTTCAACAGTTTGCAAAACAGTTTACAACAGAACTGTGATAATAACCGGGTCCTGACACGGGTCTCAAAAATGTTGAACGCTTTGTAACAAAGTGAATGAAGCTGCTGGACTAGAGAAGTGGTTTAATGGAACTGTCAGTGTGAATAAACTCCTCCCTTCAGAAAGTATTTATATGACTTCTCACAATGACACTGTTTGATCTACAATAAGAAGAATGTGAAGAACAGAACTCATTAAAAAAAGCACAATTATATTATTATATTATAAATAATAAATTTTGCTTTTGAAAGTTAATCCATAGTGCTTTTATTTTGTTGGAAAAGTGCAAGGAGACCTTTAAGCTTTCCCTTTGATGAAAACTGATTTTCAGAAATAAAGTTTGTGTGGAATAGCATTTGCTGTGGTTCTGCTGTTGCTTGTTTTGAGCTATTTTCATTGAAGAGGCAACAGACAATATGTGTCTACAAAGTTTGATTTAGGCTACTATTAACTAATAAATCTGTTATAAAATCAAAATCACGTAACATTTACAATCATGCTGATAATCAGACAAAAATAGCACTCTGATATTGCTTAACTACATCACTTTATCATAAAATCAGTAACTCATTATTGTGGGATTTTTGCCCCCATAACTTTAATTGAATGTTTCAATCAAGAAACGAATGAATGAAATAATAAATTAATTCCATTTTGAGGAAGAAAATGATGTATAAATGTATAATCAGTATCAACTGTTAAACTTAAATAATTACTGAAAAAGGTCCGTCCGTGTGGGCGGTGCTACTGGAGGAGTTTATTCACACTGACTGCAGTTTCACTAAACCACTTTACAACAGACCTGCAACACGTTTGACTTTTTCAAGAGTGCCAGGACTGATTATTATAATTTCTGTTGTGTAAAACCACTTAGAGAACTATACTGAAGAAAATGTTTGATTTGTTTATTTTCTTCTGTTTGTTCTCCTGGAGTCTGGCTGGTAAGTATTTTTATGCCTTCAGTTCTCTTTATCGTTTGTTTGCCTGCACATTATTCTTTCCATCATTAATTTTGCCTATTTAATGTATTTAATGTATAATATTTTTTAAATGTATCAGAATAAACCTACTCAACTACTACTGTGCAGAATGAAATTGTTTAAAAATGAAAAAAATCTGTTAAACCTCCAAATTCTGAGTGAATATTTCTGTTTGTTGTTCAGGAGTGTTTGGTGTTGATGAAGTGAAGTCAGTGTCAGTGACTGAGGGAGAATCTGTCACTCTAAACTCTGATACTGAAATACAGACAGATGATATGATAATGTGGAGAACTGTACACAACAACAGTCTCATAGCTAAAATCAATGGAAAGGACAAGAAGACAGATTTTCCTGATGAGAGACTCAGAGACAGACTGAAGCTGGATGAGAAGACTGCATCTCTGACCATCATGAACATCAGAACCACAGACTCTGGACTTTATAGAGTAACCAGCAGCAGATCAAAGACACCGCTCAACATGTTCAATCTTACCGTCTATGGTGAGTAGAGAATTACTACCCTGTTTATATGCTGTATACTTTGTGTGTATGTGTGTGTTATGAATGTTGTATTATATTAATATTAATATATATATATTTAATTTATACAAAGAAGACTGCACTGTTTTACATTTAATTACTTTATTCAGTTTCTGTATATTTCCTACCTGAATATTACGTTTACACCTACCTAAACAACAGCACTGTTTACATTATGTAGGTAAAAAATAATAATAATATGATACTGTAATGTTGAATGGCTATAATTAATGGCTAAAAATGAGGCAAAAGACATTTGTATAATTAGACTCATAAGTAGGCCTATCAGTATTGGTAGTGGTGATACTGGCCTTCATTCATAATACATAGCAAAAAGATGCCATTAAACAAATTTTTTTAAGTTATGTTGTTTGTTAATTAATTTGGAGATTCAATGTGAAATTATCATAATATGAAAATATTTTAAAAATCATGTTAAGTACTAACAGGTCTTGGATTTTTTTTTTTTTTTTTTTTTTTCTGGTGATCTCAAGATAACAAAAGTTATTTTCTTACGACGTAACCTAACTGTATCACGAGGAAATCTTGCGCCTTCTGAATGTGTAGGCCTATATCATGTTATGGTCTTTGAAATCTCATAAATGTACCAATTGCTTGCAGCAGAGATGGACAAAGATATAGAGTCAGTCAGATCAGAGCATTCACAGCGCACGCAGAGGTGGCGCGGCAGCGTATCGCAGAGCAGAAGCGACAGTGCCACGATCCTTTCGGCGCCTATCAATATGCTTGTTTGAAAAGGGCGTCCTCAAGATGGCTTCGGTGTAGGTTACGTTTTCTCAGGTTACGGTTTCTCTAGGTTACGAATTTTGAGCAAAACTGGATCCCCCCCCCCCCCCCCCCATCAAAAATACTGTGTTGCGCACAGGCTGGGCCTATGCACGCCGTCTCACGATAATTGTACAATTTCTCTCTCTATCTCACCGCGATCGTGTCTGGGCTGATGCAAGAAGATCAGAAGTGCTCAAACAGAAGAAGATTAGGATCTCAGATGACCTATGGACGAAGAAAAGCCCGGGACAAGCTGTGGCCTTTGGTGGAGAAAGCCTGAAAGGAGGGTCGCCGTGCTGGCTTCAGGGGTCCAATTGATATCGTAAATGGAAGAAGGATTTCTGTTGATAATGTCTGATTTTTGTAGGATGCTGGAGGTTAAACGCTTTATGCCAGGGATGTTCACTGCCATTTTGACTGAAGAACTTTTGATTGGCAAAATAGTTGTACTGACATTGGCAAAAAGCCTAAACCATTATCGAGGGGTATGGATAAGTTTAATCAGAATCAGAATCAGAAAGAGCTTTATTGCCAAGTGTGCTTGCACACACAAGGAATTTGTTTTTGTGCTGAGGCTTCCAGTGGACATATACAAATACAAATACAACAAGAAACATGAAACATAATACTACAAATTATAAGAATAAAGAATAAAAATATAAATATATGAGAATAAAAGTATCACAGTTGGGTTTAGTCAGAACATTTCCAGATTTACGGATTATGAAAATATTTACAGTGTTTTGAATATTATAAATAAATAAATCTACATATAAGTATCACCTGAGTTGTAGGATATTGCACTAAACAGTGGGAGTATTGCACTTAAAGGCATATGCCTTGGGAGGTGTGTTAACTGTTCAGGAGGGAAATGGCCTGTGGGAAGAAACTGTTCCTGTGCCGAGATGTTCTTGTGGCCAGTGATCTGAGTCGACGTCTTGACGGTAACAGTTCAAACTGGTGGTGTCCAGGGTGAGTGGAGTCTGTGATGATTTTACCTGCTCTCTTCCTCGCTCTGGAAGAGTACAGGTCCTGGAGGGATGGCAGGGGGGCACCAATGATCCTCTCCGCAGTCCGGACTGTCCGAGTCTCCTGATGTCTGAAGGCTTTATTTTTATTTTTTACGTCACAGAAAAGATATGTTTTTTTTTCAAGAAACACATTCTTGTTTTAAAGATTAAACCTATTGGCGCAATAATGGGGAGGTAAGGTCTTATTTTGTCGTGGTACTATAATCACTCCACTGGAGTTTTGATTTTTATTTGATCATAATTTTAGCGGCTCCATTCTGCAGTCTTTTTCTTCTGCCGACGGTACAGTAGATGGATTGCTGTCATTCTTCTGGGGGATTTTTTCTTTATCTTGGCTATGGTTATTTTAATAATCATACACAAAATAGCTTATTTTTTCAGGATCTGACTTCTGAAATTCTTGATTCAAAATGTAAATAGGCCTATCCATCTGCTGCAGTAATATAGTTGGAGGATATTTTAATGAAGCTCCTGACCTATGTCTGGATATAGATATCCCCCACAATTTTGTTTCCAGTTTTAATTCACGGCTCTATTTTTCTTCATTTAAACCACAGTTTTCTGATAGCATTTTTGAGAGGGTTCAAGCATTCACACTTGTGAGATGGATTTGACTTTGGAAGAGTTGGATGTGATTATGCAGAAAGTTCAGAAAGTTTATAGGAAGTTTTTAAAGACTGTGTGAAAGGTGAATTGACTTAGTCCATGAAGCAGGGCTTGATGACTTGAATCCCAAAACCTAACAAAGATTCTTCATATTTAGATAATTGGCACCCAATTACTTTTCTTAATTTGGATTATAAATTGTTTCTTCCCTTTACGCAAATAGATTAAAAACCATGCTTAGAAGAAATTGTCTCAGTTTCCCAATCTGGCTTTATGAAAGGTATAGCAAATAATATTTGGCTTGTTTTAGATATTTTAGATTATATGGAATTGATCAACGATAATGCAATAATTTTATTTTTAGACTTTTATAAGGCCTTTGATACGGTTGAGCATGAGTTTATGTTTGAATCTTTGTGTAGATTTGGTTTTGTCTCTTCCTTTATTTAGACTTTTTACAAAGATGTACACCTTTGTAAATGTATCTTTGACACCAAATGTATCTTTGGTAAATGGTGTTTCTCCCCGGTTTATGATTATTAGGGGCAAAAGACAAGGGTGTCATTTTTCGCCATTTTTGTTTTTATTGATCACAGAGTTTCTCAATATTTTTATTACTCGCTGGGTAGATGTTCTGGGTATTGTAGAATCTGAACACACTTTTCTAATTAGTCAACTGACGGATGACACCTGTATGTTTTTAAAAGATAAGAAACAGGTTCCTGTTATTTTGGTGTCTTTAAAATCATTTTCTAATGCTTCTGGTCTCACAGTCAATTGAAATAAAAGTGAAATTATACCTGTTATACAAGTAAATCACCCGCGGATAGAATTTTAGATACTTTTTCACAACGGACAAAAAAATAAAGATTCTCTTCGGGCTTCAAAGAAATTTAATATCTATGGTCGTGTATTGATATCTAAAGCTGAAGGCATTTCTAGGATTGTTTACTCAGCTTTGTCCTTATTTATTAACCCGAAAAACCTGCTCATCTATAGACTAGTTTTATACATACTATTTAAATTCTTGTGGAAAAATAAAACTTGTTGTCATTGTAAACTGTTATTGTGATTGTCAACTGTTAGCCATTGTCAACCATGTTACTGTCATTGTCAACTGTTACTGTGATTGTCAACTGTTACTTGACAATATGTTAAAAGGAAGACTAATCAGAAATACTTTGGAGGGAGGTGTGAATGCTTTGGACTTCAGTACTCTCAATCAGCTTTTCAAGATCAGCTGGATTAAATGCTGCCTGAATGCTGATCCTAATTTTTTTTTGTTTTTACATACTCAAATTCATCTTTGAAAAATGTGGGGGGTTACATTTTTTATTGTCTTGCGATTTTAAATGCAACAAACTTCTGGTTAAGCTTGCAAATTTTCTTAAGCAAGCCTTGGAGGCCTGTAAGCTTGCCTTTTGCCACAATTTTCCCCCTCATAGGAGTATTATATGGAACAATCAGAATGTCCTGCGTGGAAAAAAATCTATCTTTATTAAGAATTGGGTTGACAAAGGTGTAATTTTTGTTTGGAATTTTAAAGAAGCATGACAGCTTTTATTCCTGCACTGCATTTATTGACATCGTTGGAGTGGATTCCTCACCTAAAGTTTATGTCTGGGTTACTAATTTTATTTCACCTAAACTTTAGCATATGGTTAGGTCATACTGTAGTTACAGAGTATCAGTCTGTGAAATGCCCCAATTATCCATTGGAGGATTGGAGCTTTCCATTGTCAAATGTAACAATTTTTGGATTAGAAGATTCCTTATTAGGAAAGTCAGCTGTCCGCACCATTAGCATCTCTTTTAAAAAAGACCAAAGAGTTTCGATATTTCTTTGATTATTACGCAGGAATGAGAGTATAGTTCCAAGGCATATCGGCCTAGAAAATCACAAATTTTAATTTGCCGTCGGTCTTAGTACACGATGTAACTACAGACGAGTCAAGGTGTAAATAGGAAAAATATCAAAACTCTTTGGTCATTTTTTTGATAGAGATGCTAACGGCCTAATCAGATTCAATGATCTATGCTAAGCTATGCTAAAAGTGCTACAGTAAAACTGTTTAACTCTAGGGGAGTTGGAAATTGAGCCTATTTCCAAAAAAAGTGCAGTGTTCCTTTAAAGTGTTGTGCTTTCATCATTTTCATGCAACCTACTTTGGGCTGTGGTCAAATACACACTAAAATATAACGAGTATTCTCATAACCACAGTTAGTTACATCTAACGTGCAGATAAACAGTTGGGAAAGGAATTGAATGCGTGTCAGTTTATTAGATCTGTGCATTCAGTCTTAAAGTGACAGCAGCCTAATAAACCTGCAGCTGTCTGTGCCAATAATGTTGCCATTAATGTCAAACAACAAAAGGAAAATCCCTTACTTCTAAAAGGTCTGCACAATCGGCCCAATGAAGGTTTCCTGTCTTTTCAGTGTGGCAAAGTATTTTAACTTCAATTTACTTTTATCAGACTCCATTTTATCACGACCTCACATTTAGGTTAGAATGCCAATTGATTATTGGTCATTTGTATAATAGTTTAACTACACATTTGATTATTCTGTTTAACTCTTTGCTCTTATTGTTCTCGTTCATTCAGTTACCAATGTCACTTAGGGTCTCACGAAGGACGTTCTTTTTTACGCGGATCCCACGTCACAAACTCGCCAATCCGATCATTACTGTGCGTTCACACCGGACGCGAATAGCGCGTCAAATTCGCGTCTACCGCGTCTAGTTTGACGCTTGACCACTTTGTGTTAATTCGCGTGTCAAAAGTGAAACTGACGCGCGTAAAACAAAAGTTTGAAGCGAAATTTACGCGCGTCACGCGCGTCAGAATCGAAACCCGTTGGCGGCCATCTTTTTTATGTTGATCGAGCATTCATCGAGAGAGTCACCGCTCTGTATTTGCTCTGGAGAGCAGAACGGCGGCGTAGGGGTAATCGTCGCCGTATTTGTGTCCACCAGACCCTTCGAAGGCGAACCCAGTGTGGCGAGTTTCACCATTGGCTCGCTCCAGGAGCTGCGCCTGGATGACAGCGGCTTTCAGCGTTACTTCCGCCTGTCCCGCGCCCAGCTTGATGACCTGTTGTCCCGCATTGGAGCGAGGATCACCCTCGCCCTCATCCACCTAATCTGTCATTTATTTTTGTTTTGATGATGAATGGAGCCAGCCTCCAAAAGTGATTAATCTGTCCTGTGATTTTTCTCTCCGTCTCTCACACAACACTGTCCAGACACGAATTTATGCAGTATGTTGGTTGTCTTTACATTATAATAATATTTCATATAATCTAGATATTGAATAAATAGCATTCAATACAAAATGAATGTCTCATATATTGAAATCAAGTTTTATGTGATAAAATATTTGCTTTGTTGTGCATTAGAACCACAGTCATATTACAAAATAATTTATTGAAGCATCCAGATACTTCACCACGTGACACGAACCACGAACTTGACGCGCGAATGAGGCGAATTCGCGTCTACCGCGCCGCGCTCTACGCCTCATTTGCGCCGCAGGAATTTTTTACGCGCATAACGCGTCTTTGCATTGACTTAACATTGAAATCACTCGCACCTGACGCGCTATTCGCGTCCGGTGTGAACGCACCATTAGTCAGAGGTTGAGGCTAATAGCATTTAATAGGTCACCCATTCTTACGTCACCGGCGGGCCCATAGCCATTACATATTTAAAACAGTAATATCCTATACTAAACCTAAACTAATCTTGACAAACTATGTATCATTTGAAAGCTTACTATCTTTAGTTTTCATATTCGGTGGCTGATTTTCAAAATAAATTACAGAGGAGCCATAATTTATCAATTTGCAACAATAATATTTTCATACTCCTGAGGCATGTTCAGACCTTTATTTTGAAATAGTAATGAACATGAAAAATCATGAAAGAATGGTAGAAACCTATGTTTGTTTTCATGCCAAGAGTTCAAAAGATAACATCCATTCATTTTTTTTTTTTTAGAAAAAAAGGTCTTAAAATGTTTTAAATAAAAAAAAAAAAAAAATAGATTCACCATTTGTGATGTGGTAGCGAGATATAACACGCATACATGTTCTTTTTGTGTTTATTAGAGGTTGAATTCATATCCAAATCTGCCAAACTTCCCATACTACTTATGAATAGGATGTCTACTTCATAAATTGTATGAAAATTGTTGAAATAATGGTTCAAATCACTCAAACCACATATGGAAATTGTGTCGCCCTTATATGGGCAGTAATTGAGTCTGGTGTTCTCCTAGTGAAACAGTTTGGTACTGTGCCCAAACAAAATTTTTGAGATATCAACCTAAAATTTGAAACACAACTTGTTCAGATTTTTGGCTTTGATTTTCTTGCAGTTTTAGAGACCACCAGGTTTTGAAAATATCTATTTGATATAAAATATGAATAAATACATTTTAACATTGTAGATTTTCATAAACTCAAACTTCTGTAACTTTTTTTCTGTTTCACTTTCTTAATTTATTTCACTTCTACAATCTGCCAAATGTCTTCTTTAAAACAAGACCAATCTTACATCTATATCTATGCATTCTTGAATTATAACCATTTAAGTTCGGAATGTGCATTTTCATGACTATTCAATAAAAAGGGGGTGACACTTAAAGGGTTAAATAGTAGTTCCGTTTAGCCCCCTACAGTCACCTAAATAACAACTTAGTTATTCTGTCATTATACACAGATTCGTTTGAGCATTGTTGCATTCTTGTAATTCTTTAATAATTAACATTTTATAAAAAAAAATTGATAATTGAAATCAATGTTAAGTATCAATGATCCAACAAATATCACAGAACTCTTATTTACTGAATTAAATTTATTCTCCAATATTTTCCAGCTCGTCTGTCAGTTCCTGTCATCAGCAGAGACTGTTCCGTTCTCAGACTGTACCAGAATTGTTCACTGCTGTGTTCAGTGTTGAATGTGAGTCATGTGACTCTCTCCTGGTACAAAGGAATCAGTGTATTGTCCAGCATTAGTGTGTGTGATCTCAGCATCAGTCTCTCTCTACCTCTGGAGGTGGAATATCAGGATAACAACACATACAGCTGTGTGCTGAACAATCCCATCAGCAACCAGACCACACATCTGGACATCACTCAACTCTGCAAGACATGTTCAGGTTTGTCAGCAGACGTATTTTTTTTTTTACAAACTAAGTGAATCATATTTCTGTTATTAAAGAAAAGTTCTTTATTTCTTCTCTCTGAAGATCTATATCCACTGAATATCTTTATCCACTGTTGCGGTTTTACTGAAGCTGTGATCCGATTGGCTCTCTCCGCTCTGGTGGGCGTGGCTACTGTTGCTGTTCTGGTTTATGACGTCAGATCCAGAAGTCTTCAACAGAAGAAGAGAGAGCAAACACCATCAAACTCTGATTAATCAGATACTTAGGAAAGTGGAGATGTTCTTAAATGACTGTAGGCAATATATTAAAAGAAATCCTTTGAGTAAGTTGCATTCATGAATAAATGTCAATTAAGTGATTATCAATTAATTTTATCAAATCTAAACGCTCCTTTAAAAAAATATATATAGTGTATATTTTAGTTTTTTAATTTTTCACTTCTATTATGTTCGTCTAGGATTGAAAATAATCCAAGATATTTGGAATGAACAAAGACATGTGCTTTACTGTTTTCAACCCCCTCTTTCCCCAATGACCATTTGGAGTTGAGGGGCTGATAGTGATCAAGGCCTGTAGGCCAAGATGTGTACACTCCGGGGGTCAATGAATTGTCACACCTTTAGTATCGTAGGGAAGTTGTATTTATCTGATTGGTCAGCTTGAATGTCTCACATTTGGGTTTTAGTCAAATGGTCAGGGAAAGGATAAAAGAAGATTGTAACTGTTGCTCTGTCTCTTTTATGCTCTGCTCTTTTATGCTCTGGGTCTCTTTCTTGGGGTTCTCTCTCTTTACCTCCTCTTTTCTTTTCTCTCTCTCTCTCTCTCTCTCTCTCTCTCTCTCTCTCTCATATAAGTTATCATCATCTCATCTATTTTGTAACTATTTTAAGTGTAACAAACTTATTTTGTCATTAAACCTTTTCAATTACAAATAATGTGCTAACTAGTTTTGATTTGGTATTGACTTTGAAGTGCTACCTATTGCAATACAATATTGTCACTCTATATAGCAACGCTCTCCCACATATTAAGCTATTGTAACTGCGCTTATTTCTATCATTAGTATAAGTAGCAGTGGGTGGTAATAGACAAGAAATGTACAGTTTTCTACCATCATGCTAATAACGTTTCGGCAGTCTTGCAGCCTGAACTCCTGCAGGAAATCCACCCTTGGCTTCCCCTCGAGAGAACAAAAGGCTCTCCCATCTATAACAGCAAGATCCGAGACGCAGCACACAGTGCAGTTCACACCTCACTCTTACAGTCATCAGCTCCCCCTCTTCTCCTCCTCACTTAAAGCTCACTAAAAACCTATGCAATGAGTAAGTGTGTACAAAAGTAACTAGACATGTTTGGTATTATTTAAAGTGTCTCAGTGTGCCTGGTAAAATGGTCTCATTCTCCCAGCCATAATGAAAAGTTAAAATAAGTTATAAAATATGAGAAATGTGGTGTGTCCCTCAAATATGTTCCCTCCCTCAGATCCTCCATTCAAACTACCTCCTGTATGTAAAACAAGAATCCATTCAATTACACAATCTGATCTCACAGTTGTGAACCCCTTAATAGGGCACCAAAATCTAATTATAATAACAGACACCAGGTAAGCATACTGAATTATCTAGGGTTTAATTGTTCTCCCAAATAGAATTCCAAAACTGGATTCATATGTTCACGCAAGTTTGCGTCAGATTAGTGATGACTAGTATTTGGTATCAATTCAAGTGTACTTGGTTTGCAAAGACAAGTTATTTCCGTGTAGGACAACAAATGCTGTTTGATCAACCTAAATGTGGGTGTGTCTAATTATCTCTGTTTAAATTTAATGTCACTTTAGATAGGTGTACGTGGGAAACCACGACTTGGCCAATCCAAAACTATTATAAGATAAGTAATGTTGGTCAACTTGCACGACAACTTAAACCCTCCCTGGGACATGAGGTTTGATCTCCTTCTCGTCTATCTCCAGCTGCTGTGGTAAGTCAGTCATTTTTGCCTTTTAGAAGTGTTGAGCAAAAGATTGTTTGCACTTCACAAATAGACACATTTAAAGTACGGGTCGGAATACCTTTAGACCGGAACCGAAAAATCAAGAAGCCTCTCGCTGCAGCCTGCGGTGGACATCCAACCCAGCCCACATCCAAGTGTGATATCAGAAGCCACACCCATGTCCATAGGTCATGTCAATCACAGTACTGATTGCCTACACCAAACACTGATCCCTAAACATACCCATCACTCTAACCTAATGCCTAAAAACCCCTTTTAATCTAGAACCTACATACTGAACCCACCTAAAACCTTCCCTACCTATTAGACATGGGAGTGGCTTCTGACATCACACTTGGATGTGGGCGGGGTTGGATGTCCACCGCAGGCTGCAGCGAGCCCTACTTGGAGAAATCCGGTGGGGATAAGAATTAGACGGGAAACATGTCTTTCCAGGGAAAGCACAGCAGCAGGTTAGATGAGGAGATAATGGAGATTCTAGGCATGCAATTACGAAAGTTCCTTGTTCGGTTAAGCAACAAGGGACTAAATTTAAAGTGGAGCAACAACAAAATAATATCCTGGTATTCTGCTAAAGGGCGTGGAATTTAAATCAAAATAAAAATACAAGAAAATTCCCGCTGCAATTGTTTATTTGCTTCGTCGTAACAGCATCGAGATCAAAGAAATCAAAAGATAGCGATCTGACGAATTACAAAAGTTAAGAAAACAAGTAGCAACAAGGGTGGGCTAGACAGCGCGAAGAAATGGCCACAAAAATTGATCAAATTCAAAGAAAACTTCAAACCAACAGTAATTACATATCTGCTCTCGAAGATTGCTGCGATAAATCAGGTTTTCAGTAGCTGCAGCTAAACAAGCATCACTGGATGAAACCTCTGATCTAGAGACTCAAAATGATAGCTACGATGATGAAGCTGCGTTAGGATACAGGCCACAGAGAGAAACCCGTAACCAAGCTCTTGTGAACCTGTGGCCTGTAAGAACCAAACCTGCGAAGCCCAGTTAGTTCTTGCCAAAGAAATCAGTTAAAGTCGCTGTGCTTAAAACCATGACGAATGCGGATGATGAAATCACAACAATCAGACGCCCGTTAACATGCGAAGAATGCTCTAGGCATAAACAAGTTGTAGGAATTACACAGAGAAAAGGGCCGTTTCCACCCTACTGGGAAGCATTGATGTTACAGGCCACTGTGTACAAATTAAAAAATTCTAGATGTATGGCAAATACTCCTTGACTGTTACCGTCCCACAGGTGGGACGTTTGCCATTATATATTTAAAACAATAATATCTTAGTAAAAAACAAAAATAATATTGACAAACTATATATCATTTGAAAGCTTAAAATCTCTAGTTTTCATATGTGGTGGCTGTTTTCTAAAATAAATCACAGAGGAGCAGTAATTTATAAATTTGCAACAAGAATATTTCATATTCATTAGGAGTATTTAGGCCTTTATTTTGAAATAGCAATAAATATAAAAAATCATGAAAGATTGGTAGAAACCTCAGTTTGTTTTCATGCCAAGAGTTCAAATGATAACACCAATTCCATTTTATGAGAAAAAAAGGTCTGAAAATGTTTTAAATATAAAGAAAAATATTATGGATTCTCAATTTGTGATGCGGCTGTGAGCTATGACGCACATATGTGCACTTTTTATGCATTTATTAGAGGTTGAATTCATATCCAAATCTGCCAAACTTCCCATACTACTTATGAATAGGATGTCTACTTCATAAATTGTATAAAAATTATGGAAATACATGGTTCAGATCACTCAAAACATATATGAAAATGGAGGCGCCCTTATATGGGCAGTAATGGAGTTTGGCGTTCACCTAGTGAAAAAGTTTGGTACTGCGCCCAAATAAAATCTCACTGAAAGCTAATTTTTTGAGATATCAACCTAAAATTTGGAACACAACTTGTTCAGATTTGTGGCTTTCATTTTCTTGCAGTTTTAGAGTAAAATATATTTTGTAATATATATTTTTTATATAAAATATTAATAATTCTATTTTTACATTGCACATGTTCATAAACTCAAACTTAAATAAAAAATTTTCTGTTTCATTTTTAATACTTTCTACACTTCTACAATAATCTGGAAAATGTCTAACCATAGGTCTATATTCCAAAGCATTCTTGAATTACAACCATTTAAGTTTGGATAATGATTTTTATGTCTATGCAACAAAAAAAAAAGGGGGGGGGGGGGGGTGGGGGATGGGGGTACAGTTAAAGAGTTAAAGATTTAAATTGGAGAATTTAATACATTTCTATTGAAAAAAAAATGCTCAAAAACAGAATAAATGCTCAGGCTCTTAGTAATAATAATACATAATATTTCAAGCTCATGAAAACTGATTATTTAATAATATGGCAGGCATATAAGGCCTACAACTGCAGTAACTCAATTAATTAACAGTGGCATATCATGCACAAAGTTACCTACAAAACCCATGCTAGAGTTTTGATCGTCATTTTTAGGAAAACCTTAAGTCGGTTCAGTTAGAAAATATATAGTATAATATATATTCCTTTGTTCAGTTTCCATGGTTACCATCATTATTAGTTCATTTGTTTCAGCTGTGTGTCATTTATTATCTCGTTTCAATTCGTTATTTAAGCCTCACCCTTCCCTTAACTCTTTGTGTCTCTGTTATGTTGACATTTGTTTGCACTGCCTGTTTGCTTGCTTTTTGAATTTAACCTATTAGTGTTTTGTGATAACTTGAGTCTTCAGCTTCCCTGCATACATTGTTACAGAAGACTGGACCACAACTGAAAGATGGATCTCAAGGATATCCCCAGATCCAACAACAACAGCAGCAGTTAAAATGGACACAGCGATAGAGATGAACTTAGTTCATCATGTAATGACATTTTGTTATTAATATGTTTATAAGCAACTGAAAAAAGCACAAATGTCGGGGCATGTCAAAACTTCTCCAGGGCCTCAAAACCTCCTCAGACCCGAAAGGTTTAATCATCATATACATCAAAGATTTGTAACATTACAGAATGAAATGTTGAGCCCATGAAGAGATGTAAGACTGTTTAAGCTCTTGGGGTGTTTATTAACATGATTGGTGTAATTTATGTTTTGAAAATCTTCCTGAATATGATCTAAATGTAGTCTTTGATGACGCAATTTTCTCCGCTTTTTGTTTAAAATGTTACTTTTTTTAATGAAACTTATCCACATACAAGTTTTGAAAAACAAGGAATGCATTAGGTACAATAATATAATAAATTAAAAGCAGAGCCTCTTATCTTTATTTTTGTATATTGTATGTTCAAATATTCATACACCAAATTATTC